AGATAGATAGATAGATAGATAGATAGATAGATAGATAGATAGATAGAGTAGGTAGATAGATGATTGATGGATAGCTGGATGGACAAACAGATGGATACAGACAGAAAGTCAGATAAATGATATAGGTGATAGATAATAGATAGATAGATAGATAGATAGATAGATAGATAGATAGATAGATAGATAGATAGATACAGATGATGACAGATAGCTGGATGGATGGACAGACAGATGAATGGACAAATGAATGGATGGATAGATGGATGAATGGATGGATGCACTGATACATACATACATACATACATACATACATACATACATACATACATATATACATACATACATTGCTGGATAGATGGACAGACAGACAGGATAGAATCTGATGTCTCAGTGGACAAAATGCAATGTTTGAAGAACCTGTGTCCTAGTTCTTACGATTCTGTCTAAGTTTTGCATCTGAAATGCTAAATGTATGACTTCCTGACAACTCTCTATTGATCTTAATATTTCCTTCACAGTGAACTGCTACTAACCCAATACTAAAACATGGTTTATGAATACCAGATGCAAGACTAGCCCAAAGCTTCACATCTCATTTTTCAAGTCCCCAAACAGCCATTTTCCTGTTTAGGGGAACACTGGTACCAACTTCCATTCATGTGCAACCATCAACAAATTGTGATGCCCATCCATAAGTTAGATCGAAAGCAATGTTTTTGTCGTGCTTTATATTTCATGCCTACCTTTAACTGGTGATACAAATGGTACTTACTTGCAAGTGGAGCTCTTTATCCAACTGGCTGATCCCTTGAGCAAGCTTTGCTAATTGTTCAGCAATAACAGCCTGGTGGATGGATTGAGAGGTATATGCCTTCACGTCAAAGTCTTCCGGCAAAAAATCCACATAACATTCTGAAAGGGGCACAAGAAACACAAAACAAACAAGAAAAGTTGGCTTCCTTTTGCCTGCTCGGAGAGAATGGACATTTTTGAGTTTGCTTCATGCAAAATAAATAAACTTAGATTCTGTAGAGATTCTCAGTCATGTCATCCAGGTTGTGGTTGTCCCAAAAGTGCTATTTTTAAGGAGGCAACTGGACTTTCTTGTTTTTTCTTTTGAAGACATTTCCCTTCTCATCTAAGAAGCTTCGTCCACTCTGACGGGATAGTGGGGAATATAAATCCTTCGATTTCCCCACCATTCAGTCAGAGCTGAAGAAGTTTCTTGGATGAGAAGTTAAACGTCTTCAAAAAAAAAAAAGTCCAGTTGCCTCTGGGGAATTCTGGGAGTTGAAGTCCACCTGTCTTCAAGCAGCCAAGCTTCAAATGACTTTAACTCCCAGAATTCCCTAGCCAGCATTACTGGCCACTACTATGCAACGCAGTCATGTGTTACAATGGAGTCCATGCAGTGCAATGGGGGAAAATTCTGGGAATTGAAATGTGTTTGAATATTATTTGGTATTCAAATATTCAATATGGAATTCTGGGAGTCGAAGTCATTTGAAGTTTGGCCACTTGAAGACGGGTGGACTTCAACTCCCAGAATTCCCCAGCCAGCACTATTGGCTGTG